AGAATGAAATGGGAAGACTAATGGGAACACAGTTTCTCTTTGGACTGATGAAAATGTTCTGAAACTGGACAGTATGATCATAGTTGTACAACTGTGTGACTATATTGAAAAAACACTAAATTATAAACTTTAAAGAGGGTGAACTCTATGGCATATAAATAAATTTAAAACAAAAATTCAAAAGAAGAAACTAATGAAATGTATGTTTTCACCTCTGCAGAATTATACTTCTTGTCTGACTCAAAAAGGTTTGGCCATTTGATTTGCTTTGGGGTCATAAAATATAAAGGAAAAGATATACATATCACTCCCTGGGTATTTCAACTACATCTTTTTCCTTCTAAGTCCAGTTTACCCTGAATAGCACCTGAGTTCTGGTCCTGGAAGGAAGTATGAAGTAAAGATGTACTCACCTGTACCTTGAGATGAATGTGAATGTAAGCAGGAAATAAAACTTACTTGACTTTTTTAAAAAAGTAAAACATCTAACTAACCCAATCAAAAGGCTAGTTAGATTATATTTTTTAAATAGACCTAAATAAGGGTTGAGATATAGCTCAGTGGAGGAGTGCTTGCCTGTGAGTTAGGTTAGACACACAGGTTGATTGCATTAGGTTAGATATACAGTGCACATACATACACACACACACATGCATGTACACAAAGAATACAAATAAAAGATGGGGAAAAATAAAATGTTAAAACTATTCAAAAAGTTAGTGACTGCATTAATGAAATCAAGTAGATTTCTAAGCATAAAGGTCATAAAGAGATATAAGACATCCTAAATGTCCATACACCAAATAATGGAACTTCATATTACATAAAACAAAGACAGAATTTAAAAGAAAACAGACAAATATGCAATTATAGCTGGAAATTCTAATACTTCTTTCTCAATACCTGACATAACAAGTAAACAGCAGAAAACCAGCAAAGATATAGTAGATTTGAACAACACTATCAATCCACTTGAGCCAACAGACATTTATAGACCATTTCATCAAACAACAGCTGAATACACATTCTTTTCAAATGCCAAAGAACATTTAACAAGACAGACAATATTCAGGGCCATAAAACAAGTAATAAATTTGAAGGAATGTTGCTAAGGCAGGGTTTAAAAAAATTAGAGCACTAAAAACCCATATTAGAAAGATCACTCAAGCATCATAAGGTAACAAGACATTTTAGTTAAAGGTCAAAGACATTTCCAATCAACTACCATTTGAAGACAAGTATCATAAAAATCAATTTCCTTCATTAACATAGATCCAAAATTCCCCAAAAAAATGAGCAAATCAAATCAATAATATTTTATAAAGACACTATATCATAACCAAGTAGAATTTGTCCCAGGAATGCAAAATCGATTCAAAATCAACTTGCCACATTATCAGACTAAAAGATGAAAATCATATGATCATTTCAATAGATTTGGAAAAAGCATTTTATAAAATCTAAAATGTATTTTAACTCTAAACCAAATAAGAAATAAAAAGGAATTTACCTAGCCTGATAAAAGGCATATGAAAAACCTACAATTAACAGCATATATAATACTTTACACCTTAAGATTAACAAAGCAAAAATGTCTGTTTGCCACTACCATTCTAATGTATACTTGAGGTTCTAATTTGTTGCAATAGGCAGGTGAAAAAAGACAAAAGGTATCCAAAAGATGAAAAAGAAGTAAAAGTGCTCTTATTCACAGATAATATGTTCAACTACACAAAAAAACCTAATGCAATCTTGAAAACAAAAATAAAAACTCCTACCAGGGGCTGGGGTTGTGGCTCAGTGGCAGAGCGCTTGCCTAGCATGTTGAGGCACTGGGTTTGATTCTCAGCACCACATAAAAATAAATAAATAAATAAAGGTCCATCTAAAACATTTCCAAAAAAAAAAAAAAAAACTCCTACAATAACAATGAATACAGCGAGGCTGCAGAATTTATGATCAATATAAGAAAAACAATTATAGTTTCACATGGTAGCAATGAGTAATTAAAAACTAAATTTAAAAACATACCATAGGCAAACAATAATTGAGAAATATATTGTTTTGGGGGTAGAAGACAATATTAATATCATTAGGAATTCAATGCAATCTCAACAAAAATTTCCAGATATTTCCAGAAATTAACAACTTGATTGTAAAATTTATATGGGAATGTCAAGAACCAAAAGCCAAAACAAAACAACAAGGTTGGAAAACTAACATATTTGATTTCAAGACTCATACAGGGGCTGAGGTTGTAGCTCGGTGGTAGAATGTTTGCCTAGCAAGTGTGAGGCACTGAGTTAAATCTTCAGCACCACATAAAAAATAAATAAATGAAATAAAGGTATTGTTTACATCTACAACTAAAAAAAATTTAAAACAAAAGACTCAATATAAAGCTATAATAATTAAGGTAGTATAATGTTGGCATTAAAAAACAGAAAGAGATGAATAAAACAAAATGGAGTCCAAAAAGAGACTCATATATTTATGGACAATTGATATTTAACCAAATTGTAAGAGTAATTAAATAGAGAAAGGATACGTGGTTTTAACAAACAGTATAGGAAAAATCATGTTTGTGCATATTCAAAAAAATAAACTTTGATCTATACCTTGCATCAAATACAAAATTAACTCAAATAGATCACAGAGTTAAGTGTAAAATTTAAAACTATAAAACTTCTTGGACTGAGCATGATGTTGGGCATCCAAAGTTCCAGCTACTCAGGATTACTTCTGTACCGAACTTTGTGATCAGCCTAATTAGCATTAAAAAAAAATCTCTTTTATTTTTTAAAATTTGTTCTAATTTGTTAAAATCCCATCTCTTTAAAAAATAATAATAATAAAACTTCTAGAAGAAAATACATAAGAGAACCTGTGTAACCCTGAGTCACCCAAACACAATCTATTAAAAAAAAAAAAAAAACAATTTGACATTGGGACTTCATCAAAATTTATAACAACTTCTCTTCAAAAGACACTTTTTTTTAATGGTACTGAGGATTGAACCCAGGGCCTCATACATGCTATGATCTTCCACTGATTTATATCTTCGGTCCTCTTTTAGTTTTATTTTGAGACAAGGTCTTGCTAAATTGACCAGGCTGGCTTCAAACTTCTAATCCTCCTGCCTCAATCTCCAGAGTGGCTGGGATTATGGGTGTGCACCATCATGCATGGCTCAAAAGATACTTTTAAGAGATTAAAAAACCACCAACTGGAAAAATGAGATTTGAAAATCATGTACTTGATAAGGTATCTATATCCCAAACATATAAAGAACTCTCAAAACACAATAACAAGAAAGCAAACAACCTAACTTTATTTTCGTTTTTCTGCTATTAAGTATTGAACCCAGAGGGATTTTTTAATTTGAGACAGAGTTTCACTAATTTCCTGAGGCTGGCCTTGACTTGCAATCCTCCTGCCTCAGCCCCCCCAAGTAGCTGGAATTACAGGAGTGAGCCACCAAGTAGGGCTTACCTTACTTTTTAAAATCAAAGATGATAAGTTAGTCAAGCAGAGCGGTTCACACCTGGAATCCTAGTGACTCAGGAGACTGGGCAGGAGGATCACAGGTTCAGGTCAGCCTTGGAAACTTATCGAGAACATATTTCAAAGTAAAAAGGTCTGGGTATGTAGCTCACTGGTAGAGTGCCCATGAGTTGAATCCCCAGTGCCATAAAAAGAAAAAAGATGACATATAGATGGTAAATAAATACAAAAGATGCTCAACACTATGAGTGTTGAATTAAAACCACATATTATCAATACTCATAGAATGACTAAAATTAAAAAAGAGTGACCAAACCAACTGTTGGCAAGGACGTACAGGAACTAGAAATTTCATAGACTTCTGATGGGAATGTGAAAAAATAGAGGCCATTTGGAAAATAGTTTGGAAGTGAAACATAATATCTACAATACAATCTATCAATTCTATTCCTAGGTGTTTGTCCCATAGAAGTGAAAAGTATACATTAACACAAAGGCCTATCCACAAATGTTTATACCATTCACAGCAACAGATGAGTAAACTGTGATATATCCATATGATGGAATACAGCAAAGCAACAAAAAGGAGTGACAACTCTCGAAATAACTCTGTTAAATGAAACAATCCATACAAAAAGGGTATAATAGTGAATGATTCTATTTCTACAGTGGGACATGGAGGGGGAGATGATACAGATTTTTTTTCTTTATTTGGGTGATAATTTCACAGAATACACCAATGTTGAAACTTACCAAAATGTACATTTTATATATTGGTAATTTATTATGTCAATTATACACCAAAAAAGCTGTTAAAATTACCATTATTATCCTTACAGCCAGTGGCATTATGTAACTTGGTCAAACACAAAAGGGTATTCTTTATATTGTTTTGTAGATAATACCCCCAATGAGGTTTTGATAATAACATAGTAAAGAAATACAAAGGATCCAGAGTACACATTCCTAGCAAAGTAAACAACTATTCCATTTCATACATTATGAGAAAGTGATATAGTGCCTTTCATGGCTACATTTTTGAAAAGATTTCCCATTCTAAACCACAAATCAGATATTTATACTGGATTAAACTGTTTTACATTTTAACCAAAGGGGGCTATAAAGAAAGTTTAAAATAAAAATGGTAGGGCTGAGGGTATATCTCAGTGGTAGAGTGTTTGTTTAGCAAATGCAAGGCCCTGGGTGAGATCCTCAGTACCACCAAAGAAAAATATTTTTAAATAAAGTTCAGGAGGGATTTAGGGACTCTGCTGTATTAAGAAAACAAACCTCTAAATCTAACCGTACAGGAAGAAAAATTTAATCTTTTTCATGACCAACACTCCACCCAAAAGACTAAAATACTTTGTTACATAATCTGATAAAGAAGCCAAAAACTAGAAAACAAACATTCTTAATATGAGTAAATATTTAATTTTTTTTACTTTAGTTGGGTTTGTATAATTGGAAAGAGAACACCAAGTAACCTCACTCACCTATTTTGTTCCTCCAGTTTAGCCAGGAGTTCCAAGTCATCTGGACTCAACTGTGATGGGGAAGACGGTGAAAGGGCTGGTGTTGACAGTGTGGTAGATGAGGATGTAGTGTGTAATGAAGCAGATGGACTTGCCACCTGACTGGCCATCTGACTGACTGTATGCGAAACTGTGTTCTTCACCCATGAGAGAGTAGAACTCAGCTTTTCTGCAACCTTGTCTGTCGCCACCTGAGGATTAAAAAATAAGTTGCATAGATTTTAGTTTTATCGCATTTATTACTGAGAACTTGAGAATCCTGTTTTGTTTTTTGTTTTTAAATTTTGTTGTTGTTGCTACATTAGGGATTCCAACTCAGGGCTTTACACATGTTACGCAAGCACAATCCTGTTAAGTTCTACTTAAAAATTACCATTAGAATTCTCTCTCTGAGATGATAAAGATGAAACAAGTTTTTGCAATAATGACCCTAACATACAGGTTTTAGAAACTTTTCCAAATTTCATGTTTGCAAACTACAAACTGAAACACACAAGGGAGTGATAAAATCACTTAAAAGGTAACACAAATATTTCATTTAAAAATGAAAAAGAGCCAGTGCACACACCTTGAATCCCAGCAGTTTGGGAGGCTGAAGCAGGAGGATTGTGAGTTCAAAGCCAGCCTCAGCAACTTAGAAGGCCCTAAGCAACTCAATGAGACCCTGCTCTAAATAAAATATAAAAAGGGATAAGGATGTGGCTCTGTAGTTAAGTGTCCCTGGGTTCAATCTCTGGTACCAAAAAGAAAAAAAAAAGGGCAAAAAATATCAAAATATATAATTTTATATGAAATTTTTACTTCACATATGTATTAAAAAATATATACTGTATGTATGTATGTACGAGCACAGGTGTGCTGAGTCAGTATGTAAAGCATATTTTTATCAGGATTTTAGTCAAACCCATTTGTAAAGCAGGAACTAAAACGTGTCATTGAGGTGATCATGATAGGGAAATCCTGTGATATGATTAATTTTTTAAAAACTGGGTGTATTTATCATAAATAAGATGTAATGAGACCCTTATCAATCTGTCCTCAAACCAGTAAAGAGCATTTTCACAGAATGACTAGCTCCAAGGGAACAAAATTATGATAAGTGGTTGAACTAACAGAGTGAAAAAAGCTCAAGGTAGAATTTTCAAATAATTGGAGCTATTAAGAAATAGAATGGAGGCTGAGGGACACAGCTCAATAGTACAACAATTGCCTAAAATGTGCAAGGCCATGGGTTCAATTTCCAGCACCCATAAAAGAAAGAAAGAAGGCAAGCAGRCAGGCAGGCAGGCAGGCAGGCAGGAGGGGAAGAGAGAGAAAGGCAGGAAGGGGGGGATGGATGGATACCCACAAAGAATAATACATTCCCTAGCAATAGCTACATTAAAGCAGCAATTATAAGAGCCAAATGTCTAGAGCTGACTAAGGATGAATTTGTTTTAGGTGAAGAACCAGAATTAGATAAACCTTCAAAATTCCTCTCTCCTAAGATTCAACAAATTATACATCGCTGTCATAAACCATGCCAATCTCCTTAAGCAGATATGTACACAATGAATTCAACTGAAAAAAATCCAGATAATTTTCAAACACACATTGTTAATCTTGTATGTGAATACCAATGCAAAATTAACATCATCTATATGACTTTACAAAATAAGGTTTAATAGGAAACTTACTAAAAGAGCTTCCAACTCTTTGGAGCCTTTATATATCTAAGTACTCTAAAACTATGAAGTTCTTTTGAGGTTTGTTTGTTTGGTTGGTTGTTTGGTTGGTTTTTTTTTTGTTTGTTTGTTTTTGGTACTGGGGATTGAACCAAAGTGTACTTTAACACTGAGCTACATCCCCAGCCCTGTTAATTTTTTATTTTGAGACAGGGTCTCACATTGTTGTTGAGGCAGCCTCAGAACTTGCAATCCTTCTGCCTCAGCCTCGTGAGTTGCTGAGATTACAGGCATGCACAACTGCACTGACCAAATTATTTAGTATTTTTATGTGTTTTGAGAAGAGATGAAAATTTACACAATTGGAAAAATGTCTAAAGCATTATAAATTATTTCCTGGATTAATAAAACAGCTAACTTTGGCTTATAAATAATAATCTAAAGGTATATACACTAAAACACCAACACATACACAAAAAAAACCCACCCAGACTTCTGGCAGTGAATACTATACTTCTTTTGAGTTTGCCTACAGCTTTCCTTCTAAACCTCAATACATCTTTGGCTCTCTGTCCTGACTTCTACACCAACTAGCATGAAAATTCTATTTAAGAAAAGGATAAAACAGAAAAGGGATTCCAAGGATATAGTTAAGCTATTCAACATGAGGATGGAACTTCCAAAAAGACAAAGATTTCAATTACAAGTGCTAGATGGGGGAAAGAGTTTTATTAACCTGACACTACCTCTCATTTTCTTTTCATTTTCAATATTTTTCCCCTTTTAGAACTTATTTCCCTTGGAAATGATCTTATAGAAAGCACCAGGTGACTCTGGTTATTGAAGGAAGAATTCCCAAGACAGAAGGGCAGGATAAACTATGGGAAATAAGGAAATAAGCACTGGGCAGATTATTAATGCCTGCTGCCAGGGAAAAACAAGGACTTCTTTTATTTGTTCTTTTTAGCTATACATGAAAGTAGCATATATTTTGACATATTATACACACATGGAGTATAACTTCCCATTCTTGTGGTTGTACATGATGAGGTTACACTGGTCGTGTATTCACATATGACCAAAGGAAAGTTATGTCTGATTTATTCTACTGTCTTTCCCATTCACATCCTCCCTCCCTTCCCTTCATTCCCTTTTGTCTAATCCAATGAACTTCTATTCCCTCTCCACCCCACTTACTGTGTGCTAGCATTTGCATATCAAGAGAAAACATTTGGCCTTTGGTTTTTGCAAATTGGGTTATTTCACTTGGCATGATATTCTCCAGTTTCATCCCTTTACCACAAAAACCATAATTTCATTTTTATTTATGGCTGAGTGATATTCCAGTGTGTATATATAACACATTTTCTTTATCCATTCATCTGTTGTAGGGCACCTAGGTTGGTTCCCTAACTTAGGTATTGTGAACTGAGCTGCTATAAACATTGATGTGGCTATGTCATTATAGTATGCTGATTTTAAGTCCTTTATGTGTACACCGAGGAGCTGGATAACTGTGTCAAATGGTGATTGCAATCCAAGTTTTCTAACGAATCTCCATACTGCTTTCCAGAGTGGTTGTACCAATTTGCAGTCCCACCAGCAATGTAATGAGTGTATCTTTTTCCCCACATCCTCATCAATATTTATTGTTACTTGTATTGTTGATACCTGCCCTTCTGACTGGAGTGAGATGAAATATCAGTGTAGTTTCAATTTGCTTTTCTCTAATTGCTAGAGATGTTGAACTTTTTTTTCATATATTTGTTAACCAATGGTATTGACTGTTCAGTTCCTCTGCCCATTTATTGATTGGGTTATTTTTAACAAAAAAAAAAAATTGCATGGCACCAAAACAGACATAAAGACGAATGGAATAGAATAGAAGACACAGAGACAAACCCACATAAATACAGTTATCTCATACTAGACAAAGGTGACACAAACATACACTGGAAAAAAGAGAGCCTCTTCAACAAATAATGCTGGAAAAACTGGAAATCCATATGTAGCAAAATGAAATTAGACCTGCACAAAACTCAACTCAAAGCAAATCAAGGACTTAGGCATTAGACCAGTGACCCTGCACAAAAAAGAAGAAAAAGTAGACCCAATACTCCATCATGTCAGCTTCGGAACCAAATTCCTCAACAAGACTTCTAAAGTGCAAAAAGTAAAATCAAGAATGTATAAATGGGATGGTATTAAACCAAAAAGCTTCTTCACAGCAAAGGAAACAATCATGAATGGGAAGAGAGAGCCTACAAAATGGGAGAGAATCTTTGCCACCTGCACCTCAGGTAGACTTCTTTATATATCGTGGAAATTAATGCTCTATCCTGTCAAATCATAGATCAACACAGTTCATTGGTACAAAAGGCCAAATAGGGAATCAAAGAATAATGAAGCTAAAACTTAATTTGTGCCAGAAGTGAAAGTAACCATGACAAGACAATAAAATAATGTAATAAATTATCCCTAAGACAAAACTACAGATTCAACTATGAAAATGGTACCAATTTGCATCTCAAAATAATACTATATTTTAAATCAGAAAACTTAATGTACAAAGTGTTCAGAAAAATGGCATGCTTTACTAAAAATGACCATTAATTTCAAATAGCTACAACTTCCAACAAGTAATGTCTTACATTCCCATTATATAAAAGTCCCCTACTAAAGTTAATTGCTGCAAAGGCAAAAACCACACATTATTTGCTCTAATTTGTTAAAACAATTTACTATATCGCTTCTGCAACTGTTACAATAGGCTCAATTTAAAGAGTTTGGAATAACCAAAAGCACAATTCTGACACTCTTTCAACCTCAGTGAATTGGAATCCAGCCTAACTACTGAAGGCTTAATAACCCATCTTCAAATTTAAATTCTTAAGTATAGCCAAAATATTTAATTACAGTTCAATTTAATAAAATTTAATACTCATGGTTCTAGGAATCCTACAGGAATGAATTATTTTTCATTTATCATTTTGTCCTATTTCTCCTTTAACTCTATTTTTCCAAACTTCTACCCTGCCACCACTGAACTTCCTTCCCTCATCCTATGGTAAATGTAGATTGCAAAGAAATAATAAATCTGACAACACAACTATGTCACCACGTTCCTATCTACCTCATAGAGATGTATGCACTTGCTTGTAAATATTTCCTTCTGGGTAAAAGACATTTTGTGGCTAATGAGGAACTATGAGTGCCTGTACTCTGGGAGTCAAAAGCCCAATATATCTCTAAGTATCAAATCAAATTCCAAAAAGAATACATAGTGTGGCACTACACATTTCATATATACCAATCAATCAACAAATATATGAAAAATGCTCATCATCTCTAGCAATTAGAGAAATGCAAATCAAAATTACTTTACGTTAATTTCATCTCACTCCAGTCAGAATGGCAGCTATTATGAAGACAAACAACAATAAGGGTTGGCGAGGATGTAGGGAAAAAGGTACACTTATAAATTGCTGGTGGGACTGAAATTGGTGCAGCCAATATGGAAAGCAGTA